TGGTGTTATTGCTATTGTTGTTATTGCTTTTATTTATGTTCCTATTTTAAATAGTATTATAATATATTATTAAATTAATGTATAACACATTGTATACAAAATAAATCATTAATAGTGTCTGGTAAAATTAATCCCAAATATAGTTTAATATTATTATTATTATTATTATTATTATTATTATTATTATTATTATTATTATTATTATTATTGTTATCATCATTATTAACAGTAGGGTTGATTTAAGTCATAAACAAATTATTTATTAAATAAAAATAAACTATATAAACATTTTAAATAAAGGTACTAGTGCAATGCATGTAAATTATCAATTGCATCAATGGAATTTATTTATAAAATAAATTTATCAAAACTTAAATTAAATTAATAAATACATAAAAATATTAAAAAAAGAAAACAATATATATTTTAATACAGCATTTTATATAAATTGTTGTTATTATTATTGTTGTTGTTGTTGTTGTTATTACTATTACTATTATTATATAAATTATGCCTTTTAATTGAAAAAATAAATAATATGCTTAATTATACCAACGTTATATATCATAAACTTCGTTTAGTCTAATGTTTCAAATATGAATGGCAAACTGTATTAAAATGCAAATGAGCGCCTATATTTGACTTCTTTTTATTCAGCTTTTGATTCGATTAAATCCATCTCTTTCAGAAGACGAACAATTGAAAACCATCGGCGTGTGACGCTTTTAATCATCAGAGCTCAGAGAGGTGCGGCTTGTTGCCATGGCTTCCACGTAATCCCGTTTCATTGGCTAATAACCAGTAAAAACAGTTGCCTAATCACGAGAGACTGCATCATGATCTTTCCATCAAAGCAATCCAACGGCAGAAGAACTAAAGCAACATATCTCAGTTTTGCAGATAAAAAAATTGTCATACATCAGAACCAGCCTCCCTGTGTGGGCCATTAAACTGGCACCGCTTCCATATTCCACATCCATGGGAAATATTTCACATTTCCAAATATATGAGCCTCTGGGATTATAAGGAACAAACAAAACCAGAAAGGCAGATGCTGAAAATTGCTGTTTAGATCTGAGCTCTGAAGTCTTGAGATCGGATGTGAGGCCGAGGCTTCAGACACTGTTTTGGACATTATAATGACGCAGAAAGGGCCGTCCCGTGAGAGCCAGTCGGTCTGTTTACTGTCGACTGGGTGGGCAACTCTAAGCCTTCTTTATTCGCTGTACTTCTCCAATGTTGAATCTTCTCCAGACCATGACAAACACAAGTCATTTGTTGCTCTGGCTTTTCTGAATGACTTCCGCAGCGTTAGCATGAAGAGCCAGGACGGCATGTATTCCTGTCTGCATATAAATGATAATTGTGCTTTCGTGCTTGATTTATAATTGCGCTGTTTGTTCTGTCACGCTTGTGTGAATGTAAATACATGCATTCAGCTCTCAGATCTTACTTCGAGGAAAAAGGAGAAGACTTGAAGAGATTTCAGATGGGGTTTGCATATGCTTTTACATGCTGTACGTAACTTGTGTTTGTAATTAGTCAAAATATCAAATAAAATAACTTTAATCATTAGTTATTACTTTTTACACAAAATATAATTGTTATGGCCATATTCTCTAATTGATTAAGTGATTTTCAGAGCTAATTAGTTAAGTGATAAAAATAATTTTACATTTAGAGCTTCTTTGTAAAATATCTATGTTTGTTTTTTTTTTAAAATATTGACAGTACTGCAAACTATTCCATTATTTTATAAACTGCTTTTTGTTCATTGTTTTTATTTATTTATTAATAAATAAAATTTATTTTATTTAATTTTATAGATAAAGAAAAACTTATTTGCCCTTTTAGAATATTTATTAGAAATGTTTATTATTTGTCAACAATTTAAAATTAATAAAATATAAATATAATATATTTATTTAATATAATTATTTATTTATTTGTAATAAATAAAAATAAATAAATAAATAAATAAATAACTACTGTAAAAAATGTCCGTTGACCATTAAAAATCACTTGAATTTTTTTTTAAAGATGACTAATATTTTTTTCTTTAACTGTATAATTTGTTGAATATTTGTTTTTCTAACTTTAAATATTAATTATAATTATTAATTTTGATTATTGTGTATATGAAATATGTATATAAATTTAATATAATTTAATAATAATAATAATAATATAGTAACATTTAATATAATAATATATTTATTTGATGTTACTTATGATTAGTATTGATCATTTTCTATATTATATTATTTACATTTAGACATTTAGCATTTTCTCCAAAAGCAACTCAATGAGGAGGCATTAATCGATGCAATACACACAAGAGGTGTTACTTCTAAAACAAATGATCAGATATTGCTTCGAAAAAAATCTAGAGTAAGTGGGAAGGGGGTTTCATTTTATTAATATATGTATTTTTTATTAGTTGAATATGACAGCATACAATAAGTCATCAATTCACATGAATACTCTATAAACTAACAGTGTGACAGCATCTAAATAACAACATCAGTATGACGGTCACCACAAATACACTCTCAGCAATAAAGGTACGAGAGCTGTCACTGGGCTGGTACCTTTTCAAAAGGTACACATTTGTAATTAGAGGGTCCTTATTAATAACGTACCTCAAGGCTACATATTAATACTTGCAATGTAAAAAATGTACCTGTTGAAATTTGTAGGTACTAATATATATCCTTGAAGTACCAATATGGACCTTTATTGCCATATTTGTACCTCAAAGATATATTAAACTGAAAAAAAAAGATTCATTGGATTTACTACATTTTGTCAAGGTAAGTGGTTGTAAACAATGTGTATGGGCTGAAATTACACAAAAATTTTTTTTTTTTTTTTTTTTTTTTGTAGTACTAGTACCTAAACATTTCAAGAGGTACTGAAAAGATCATCAGTATCATTTCATTGCTATCATTCTCATCCTGTCACTTTAGCTTTTGTCCTTTTTGTCAGAAAAGCAACGGCTTAGACCTCAACACATTCAGGAGGACAAATATCCCACTGGCTGATGTGTCAGACTTCATGTTTTCTGTCTCTCCTGACTGTCGAAACTTGTTTCTTTAGTTAATTAATTAGTGATGCATGATTTGTGTTCCATTATTCAGCAGTTGCAGCATTTCCGCATTACTTATTTAGATTCACGAGAAAGCCAGATTTGACACTACCAGAGATTTGCAGTTTGATGTCTGGGTTTATTGAGGGAAAACAATTGAAAGCTTGTCATTTAGGAAGAAAAGTATACAATTGGTATGAGTTGACAGGCTGAACTGAATCCACCACCTTTGGGTATTGTTTGTCAAATTAAGACGTATTGGTTTAGAACAGACATAAATTAAAACCAAAGAAATAAAATATTATTAAATATTAAATGTAGTTAATTTTTTAGTCCCAATTAAAATTTTGGCAGAACTCTCCCTGTTTTACATAGACAAGACACATAATCTAGTAACGGGAATTACACTCTTGTAAAAGTTTGAATTACTGTAAAAAGCGATTATTTACTTTACTCAGAAAAGTGAGTATGCCTTAAAATTGATAAGTAGACTTTACTTAAAAAAAGTAAGTAAACCCTTTGTATCTTGGAACTGTTAAATTGATTAAACTTTAAAGCTAAATATAGATAGTTGTGGCGAAGCAGTGGCGCAGTAGGTAGTGCTGTTGCCTCACAGCAAGAAGGTCTCTGGGTCGCTTGGTTCGATCCTCGGCTCAGTTGGCGTTTCTGTGTGGAGTTTGCATGTTCTCCCTGTTGGGTTTCTTCCGGGTGCTCCGGTTTCCCCCACAGTCCAAAGACATGCGGTACAGGTGACTTGGGTAGGTTAAATTGTCCGTAGTATATGAGTGTGTGTAAATAGTGTTTGTGGATGTTTCCCAGAGATGGGTTGCGGCTGGAAGGGCATCCAGCACTGCGTGAAAAAACATGCTGGATAAGTTGGCGGTTCATTCCGCTGTGGCGACCCCAGATTAATAAAGGGACTAAGCCGACAAGAAAATGAATGAATATATATAGTTGTATAATTATGCGCATAGTTTATTTACTTACAAATTTGAAGGCAACAGGTTTACTCACTTTTTTAAAGAAAAGTCAACTAATTGATTTAAAATCAGCTGGATCACTCACTTGTTTTAAGTGAACTTCTCTTTTTTTACAGTATAACATAATTAATTTATGTTTACCCAAAGCTAACCTCTGTCCTATAACATTCTTCATTAAGCTTTAATTAAGTTCAATAGTATTTTTAAGTTGACAGTGTGCAGGTAAATTGTGATAATGGAATAGTTCACCCAAAAAATTACTTGGTTGAATGGGCGTTATCAGTGGTTATCGGCTGATAGGTATGAGCCAGTAGACGCAGAAGCCTGTCATCATCCATCCATATGGTTAATCAGCTATAGATCACATACGGATGTGGCTGAAAGTTAACAAGAATTATTTATATTATTTAATAAATTTCCCATTGATTGTATTTTATTAACGTCTACCCCAACCCTAAACCCAACCGTCACAGTTATGTAAAAACAGATCTGGATCTGGAATCTTCTCTATTACTATAGCTGATTATCCTTGTGAATTGAATGATAACAGCCTTCTGAGCCTACCAGTAGGCAGAAGGCCCCTACTGGCCCATATCTATCAGCTGATGACCACTTATAACTCCGAGTGATAACATTCAAATCTGGTAAATTTGCTCATTATTTACTCACCCCTAAGTGAACTTGTTTTAGTTTCTTTTGTAATCATTGACTTCCATAGTAGGATAAACAAATCATGTGGCAGTCAGTGGTTTTCAGCTTTCTTCAAAATATTTTCTTTTGTGTTTAACGGAAGAAGGAAAGTAAAACAGATTTGGAACAAGTGAAGGGTGAGTAAATGGTGACAGAATTTTCAGTTTTGGGTGAACTATCCCTTTAATCTGTGTCTCGGCGGTTTTCTAGATTAACTGATGTTTTGTGTTTGTCTGCGCCAGCATGTCTCTGCTGAACCACGACTGCCAGCCCAACTGTATCATGATGTTTGAGGGCAAGAGACTCACGCTGAGAGCTGTTCGGGTCATCAGATCTGCTGAAGAGGTATACGTCCATACATACATACACTCAAAATATTATTTTAGCTGCTTGTTTAAACTACTTATTTAAAAATGTGCTCAGACAAAACCATTCCTGAGGTTTTTATTCTTTTGACAATTTAGTTGTTTTATGTTCAAATTACTTAAATTTGTAAAAACAATTAAGGTAATTTAATCAATCTGTGTTGGAACCACATGAAGGAATCGTGTGGAACCCAGCATTTTTTACAGTGTACATTCAAAAAATTACTTTGCTGCTTGTTCAAACTACTCATTTAAAATGAGTTGAAACAACACAAGTATTTTCAGTTTTTTGTGGGGGCACAACTTAATTGTTTTATGTTCAATCCACTTAAATTTGTAAAAACATTAAAAGTTAACTTAATCAATTTGTGTTGGAACAACATTATTACATGTTAACAAATAGTACTTCTGTGGAACCCATAATTCTTTTTTTTTTTTAAGTAACCCCTATAAATCTGTCTTTCTTTATATCTCTTTTAAGGCTGCAACTAACGATTATTTTAATAATTGATTAATCTGTTGATTATTTTTTTCCAATTAATCGATAAATCGGATTCAAAAAATAATTAATTTCCAACAGTTTATTCAAAAATATATAATATGTAATAATAATAATAATTATAATAATAATAATGATGATGATAATAATAATAATAATAATAATAATAATAATATTATTAGTAAATAAAAATAAAAAACTAAGTAGTTTTGTCCTGTTTTCAATCCAAATATCTAAATATTTTAAATCAATATATATACTAGACACATGATATACCATAATTATGTCTTGTTTTCTGAAAAAAACACAAATTATTTGTGAATAATGAGATATAATCTCAAACAGATGTTTTACCAGTTCACATAAACCTGTAAGTGATCGTGAGTTGGTCTTCGCCATGTTTACTTGCGGCCGCATTTACCTCATTCATAAAAAGCAGAACATTTCAGCACGTAAATTCACCAGTTACTCCTCCTCATCCCTGTTTATGAGGCGCCAAACTCTGCATCAGTGCATCAGTGCGCGAGAGAGACCGTGTTCACTCCACTCCGCACCGAACTAAAGTGTTTTTTAATAATCAAACGTCCCCATGTCGCACAACACAACGAATCGATTATGAAATTAGTTGCCAACTCTTTTACTAATCGATTTTTATCGATTTAATCGATTCATTGTTGCAGCCCTAATCTCTTTCTCTGTTTTGCTTTTCTCTTGCTTTGCGCAGTCATTTTTTTTCATTTATAAGGCTCAGGAGAAAAAAATATTTTCAAATACCTTCAAATAAAAGTTTTTGAAATTGCATTTAGTCATTTATACAACACTTGATAAATAAATAAACTAAATAAAAGTACTTTACAAACAGCTTTGCGTCCTCAGCCATTGGCATGCCTGGAAAGAAAAAAGGCTATCAAGGCGCTTATTGTAATCATAAATAACACAATTCCTAAGATTTCATTAAAACATCTTTTTTATGTTCAATCCATATAAATTTGTTAAAAGTGTTAAGTTAACTTAATCAATTTGTGTTGGGACAACATGAATAAATTTTGTGGAACCCTGCATTTTTACAGTGTAATATAATATGGTTGGCTTTGACCATATTTGGAAGGGTCAGGAATAGAGTTGTCAAAAGTATCAACTTTGGTACGAATCGGCACTGAAGTTTTAAAAACATCCATTTCACGCTTACTTTTGAGCGCTGTTGAGCACATTTTTAAACACTACTGATTGGCTATTATGTTTACATGCTCAACAGATATGACTGTGATTGGCTGTGAAGGTCATCAGTTTACCTTTCTTCACTGCTGTGTGCAAACACTGATACACAGACAAATTGGAGCGTTTAAAAGTCACTTCGTTCAGCTGATCTGTTTATGAGTTGAGATGTGAAGCAAGGCAAGTTTATTTATATAGCACATTTAATACACAATGGTAATTCAAAGAGCTTTACATAAACATAAATAAAAAATAAAAAAAACAGATTAATATGTGAAAAGAAAAGGAATGAAAAAGAAAAGAAAGACGTTACAGTGCGATCTGTGGGACGTAGCACAGTGCTCATTCAGTAAAGGCACAGCTAAACAGATGCGTTTTAAGCCTTGATTTGAATGTACCTAATATTGGAGCACATCTAATCATTTCTGAAAGTTGATTTCAGCAGTGAGGGGTGTAGTAGCTGAAAGCCGATTCACCCTGCTTTGAATGAACTCTTAGAATTCTAATTTATTTGATCCTAGTGATCTGAGTGATCTGTTAGGTTTGTATTCAGTGAGCATATCTGTAATGTATTGAGGTCCTTTAGTGATTTATAGACAAGTAGTAATACTTTAAAATCTATTCTGAATGTAACTGGGAGCCAGTGTAAAAACCTGAGGACAGTTGTGATGTGCTCGGATTTTCTGGTTCTGGTAATAATCCTGGCAGCAGCGTTTTGAATGAGCAATAGCTGTCTTTTTGGGAAGGCCAGTGAGGAGTCAGTTACAGTAATCCACCCTGCTGCTGATAAAAGCATGAACAAGTTTCTGTAAGACCTCACTGAAAAAAAAGCATCTAATTCTTGCAATGTTTTTGAGATGATAATATGCTGATTTAGTTACAGCTTTGACATAACTACTGAAACTCAGATCTGACTCCAGATTCACACCAAGATTCTTGACCTTATTTTTTGTTGTTTGACCCCTAGAGCCAAGGTACGCATTCACCTTGGGACCTGTTGGTGGATCAACTAATCGACGCGGCTTTGAAACACCCCATTGTATATAAAGTTTTTGATATTGGCAGATATACTTGCAAGGACACATGTCCAAAATATTTTCCTTTAGTTTTTCAAACTCGCTTCACTGACCGCTCAAGTAAACTATTTTCATAGTCCCACATAGCCATGGTGTTTATACTTCTCAGCCCGCAAATAGCATTCTTGAAGTTGTCTGTTCACATTAAACTGGGGCAGGAAAAAGTATTTTAACTCCCAAAAATTACATCACACCCTAGTTCCTGAACTGCTGGCACTTAATGGAGCCCCTGCCAGATTAACTTCACCCTAATTCAGTCAACCGACAAGTAAATCTAAAAGCAGCATTGTTCAGTTGCTGCATTTAGCAATACTCTGCAAAACCCTTTAACCATCAGAATACAGTGTAACCTCTTTACACACATCGGTCACACCAACAGCATGAAAAAAAAATAAACAGTACAGAGCCAAGATGCATAATTCATATACATTAACACCTGAATCCATTTGGCTGATCTGTGGTGGGATGTTGTTTTTAGCATCAGCCCCATTTGATGACAGAGAAACTATCATTACTCTGTTTATTTCTGCTCTGAAAGTTTAAATATTCCAAAGTAAATCATGCAGTCATGCTTAATTTACCTCTGACTGGAGGAGGGAACTTCAGGAGAGGAAGTGAACTGGAGAATGAAATTACCAGCAAGCTCTCTGTACACACCAAGTAATGAGAATTCACACTATAGGTGTACCATCCATACGATGCTGGAATACACGAGTGTTCGTCGTCCCACAGAAACTGTTTACACATGAAAAAACACACACACGGCTGCATTATAATTCGTACACCCACACACATCTGTGTGCTGTACACATGCCGCTGTTTGCCCATAAGGGTCATACTCATTTTGGATCTGTTTTCGTTTTCTCATCTTCCTGTTTCTGTTGCTTTCTCTGTTTACCCATTATTTTCTAGCTCTGTGTACTCTACTCTTCCTATCTCGTTTTTTGTTCTCTCTCACTCACTCAGTGACTCATTCATTGGAATAACTGTTTTCATTTCTTACTCACTCTCTATCTGACCTCGCTGACATTCAGAGTTTGGAAATTGATTTTTTTCTTCTGCAAACTGCAGTGTAGGTTTTTTTTTTTTTTTTTTTTTTTGCTGCATATAAAATATGCATACTTAAATACACTCACCGGCTGTTTTACTAGGGTACATCTTGTTAGCATCGGGTTAGACACCCTTTTTCATTTAGAACTGATTTATTTCGAAATTAATTTTCTGCAGGATAAAAAATATAATAGAAATGGGAAATATTTAAAAAATAATAATTAAGTTCTCTCTCTGTATGTATATATATATATATATATATATATATATATATATATATATATATATATATATATATATATATACAGTTAAAAACAAAATTGTTAACTCTCCTTAAAAATTAACTATTTTTCAAACAATTAAAATGTATATACTGTAGAGGTGGTTATGTGTAAAAATCAGCAAATTGTTTAGACATTGAGCTGCCCTGTGATTTTCTGATTGAGTATAGTGCATCCAGAAAGTATTCATTCACCTTTTCCAATTTTTTTATGTTACAGCCTTACTCTGAAATGGATTAAATTCATTTATTTTCTCATAATTCTACACAGAATACCCCATAATGACAATGGAAAAAAGTTTGAAATTGTTGCAAATTCATTAAAAATAAAAACCCTGAAAAATCACATTTACATCAGTATTCACAGCCTTTGCTCAATACTTTGTTGATACACCTTTGGCAAAAATTACAGCCTCAAGTCTGTACACTCCTCTTTGCAGCACCTCTCAAGCTCTATCAGGTTGGATAGGAAGCGACGATTTACAGCCATTATTAGATCTCTCCAGACATGTTCAATAGGGTTTAGGTCTGGGCTCTGTAACAGTTGGGCTCTACTGATATTTTGGCATTGTGCTTTGGGTCATTGTCCTGCTGGAAGATGAACCATCGCCCCAGTCTGAGGTCAAGAGCACTCTGAAGCAGATTTTCATTCAGGATGTCTCTGTACATTGCTGCGTTCATCTTTCCCTCTATCCTGACTAGTCTTCCAGATCCTACTGCTGAAAAACATCCCCACAGCATGATGCTTCACTGTAGGAATGGTATTAGCCTGGTGATGAGCGGTGCCTCGTTTTCTCCATTCACTCCAAAGAGTTCAATTTTAGTCTCTTCAGATGTCTTTTGGCAAATTCCAGGCAGGGAGTGGCTTCCGTCTGGCCTTTCTACAATACAGGCCTGATTGGTTGATTGCTGTACAGATGGTTGTCCTTCTGTAAGGTTCTCCTCTCTCCATAGAAGAATGCTGGAGCTCAGACAGAGTAACCATTGGGTTACATAGGTAAGGCCATACGTAATTTTTTACACTCGTGGAATTTACACTTGTAAAATTTACATGAGAATGAGAAAACGATGGTGTCTGAGGCTTATGGTTTGGCCATTTTCATATTCTGACCTCTTATTATTCGACTATGCCCAGATTTTCTTTACAGTGCACCTTTAAAACATTTAACTATTTTTTAGCCTTAATTAAACTTTTTTAAAAAAAATTTATTTGGTATCTCAGGTCTATTAACAGCCTGAAATAGTGTTCAGAATGGTTGAACACATAAACACAAACATCTGGACAGTTAAGCAAACAGAGACACATTTTCTTGTAATTTACATCCTGCAGAATTGGACCAAAGGGAAAAGGCCATGTGTTTTTCAAATGTTAGCTCAGCATGCAGACTCTCATTATTGAAGACAAAACTGCCATAAGACATTGGCTCCTTTCCGAACACTAGTGAGCTGCCTCTCTTTCTGCTATCTACATGGGGAACTAGAATTAATCTGAAGTGCTGTAGGAAATGTTGTCATATGTGTATCATTTATATTATTGTTCATTTATCATATGATCTTACTAAACCTTTTATCATTAGTTATTATTATGTTTGCTGGTTTCCCACACATATTAGTACTTGGCAACGGTACATTTTTTTATTTCGATAAATCACAATCATACATACAAAATTCATCAATTAATATAGAAGTAATGTATTGCACACTTTATTTTAAAAGTTCTGGTATATGAAAATAACTACAATAGCCCTTTTGAGCAGCTGAGGTGTTTTATAGCAGTATTCCCTTTAATTGTTAACAGTAAAAATATATTCTAAATGTTTACTTAAATATTAATGCAATTAGATTGAATTTAAAGCCAAGCTCTTTACTGTTAGTGCATTTAGTGACAATTATTTGATCATTACATCAGTGGTCCTCAGTTTTGTCACCCAGCATTAGGCCTATCACAAACAATCTCATTGGTTGCAATGCATGATGATGTCACACCCCACCCCCTCTGTGACCCATTGTTTGTCTTCGTGTATTTAGAGGTATTAAGAGAACTTTGAAAATAATAATAATAATAATAATAATAATAATTATTATTATTATTATTAAAGCTGCAAGCAGCAATGACAGGGATCTCACACCTGGGCTCACCACCCACCAGTGGCCTTAGGATGACAGAGAACAGCGGACAATAATAACTTAAGCTGATAAATATTTAAAAAACTCTGAAAATTACAGATTTATCCCAAACTTCCTTCTGTCAGCAGGTGGGGCATTGACTGTAGCTCAATCTTTGCATGTAGATGTCTTCAGGATATTGGATATTGGCATGTAAACATGTTCTGGTTAAGACTCTCATCAAATGTTTGGATTTCAAAGTTAGTTAGCCTGATTTATAATGCGAAGTTTGTGTGGCCGCCATTGACACGTCCTTCGAGGAAAACTCTAGATCTTCGTAATTTAACATCACCAAGGCCTTTAGATGACAAAAGCCGATTTTAGTGTTGATCTGATAAAATCCGTTGGAGAAGTTTGTTAAAGTACAATGCCTGGAAATGGCAAAAACTTAACTTTTTCGGCAGAGCAAGTTAAAAATATCTGACTTCCTGTTGGGTTTGAGATTTCTCTCCAAGATACTTTTTTGTAGGTATTGGCATGCCTGACATGTTTGCCAATTTTCGTATGTGTTCGTGAAATATATAGGGGGCCACTTTGTCAAAAGTGCATAGGTGGTGCTGTTGAGTCATTTTGCCACACCCACTTCCGAAACCTATAACAAACATACATTTTTGCCACTTCTGGAGCATGTGCAATGTTTTTTTTTTTTTTTTTTAGTTTTCAAGCATGTTTAGACCCTCAAAAAGACAATTCATTCTAGAGATAAAGTAGAAGAAAGGGTGTGAGAAACCTGAAAGGCTCGTTGTGGGTTCTCAGAGTATAAAAAAAAAAGAAACCCCAAAAAAATGATGGCAATACTCGCTGTAACGTGCAAAGTGATGGTTTATTTAAAGTGTACGAGAGTGAAAAACCAAAATAACCCCAAACCCAGCAAAGTAACAAAACAACCAAAAATAAAAAACAAATAAACAGCAGGTGAGGCAGTGGCGCAGTAGGTAGTGCTGTCACCTTACAGCAAGAAGGTCGCTGGGTCTGTGTGGAGTTTGCATGTTCTCCCTGCCTTCGCGGGTTTTCCTCCGGGTGCTCCGGTTTTCCCCACAGTCCAAAGACATGCGGTACAGGTGAATTGGGTAGGCTAAATTGTCCGTAGTGTATGAGTGTGTGTGAATGTGTGTGTGGATGTTTCCCAGAGATGGGTTGCGGCTGGAAGGGCATCCGCTGCGTAAAAACTTGCTGGATAAGTTGGCAGTTCATTCCGCTGTGGCGACCCCTGATTAATAAAGGGACTAAGCCGACAAGAAAATGAATGAATGAATAAACAGCAAATAAACGATATATGTACAACCACACTAATAATAGACAAGTCATAGATCGCTTATGGCCCCACAGTAGTTCGCTCGCTCGCCAGGTTAACTGACAGAGCTACAGAGCTTCAAAAATTCAATTCTGCAAGCTGTCCGGCCAGCTGAGGGGTCGAGTGATGCAGAAAGTCCACCACTGGGGTCGCCAACTCAAACAGCACGACGACACTCATTTTACCAGAGAGACAGAGACTCGCCGACTGACCTGAGGAATAGCAGCCAGCCAATGTTGCGAACAGAGTTGAAGTTGCCAGTCTTCCAGCAGGGGGAGAACCTAACAGTCATTTAAAAGAGGAAATTAATAAGATGATTGTCTTGGAGCAGTTACTCTGGGTCCTACTACATGAAGTGCTGATGGGTAAAGGACTTTGAGCCTTCCTATTTCGTAAACCTCAGAAGGGCATAACCGTAGGTGCTCATTCCCTAATAATATTAACGGTTAAAGAATGATAAGGTAATTATCTTTGTTAAGGCCTTGCGATTACCTCACACTGTAACATGTTCACTTTTTCTAAAATATTTATAAGTCTGTGTATGTCCAATGAAAAATATTGGGTTCCACTCAATTCACACTCAAGTCGATTAAGTTAACCAAACAGTTTTTTAAGTGGATTGAACATAAAACAATTATATCGTCCCAAAAACCTTAGAAATTGTGTTGTTTTCGCTAATTTTAAAAGCGTAGTTTGAACAAACAACAAAAGTAATTTCTTGAGTGTTTGTGTAAGCGTGTGCAAATTTGTGTGCATGTCTGATACATTTCTTTTATCTTTTTGGCTGAGGCATTATTTTTCTGTCTTTTCTCATTGTCTTCAGTTGACTATAAGCTACACTGATATCCTCGCTCCCAGTAAAGACAGACGTTCCCAGCTACAGGAGCAATACCACTTCCGGTGTGAGTGTAAACGCTGCTCCACTGAGGACAAGGTGAGTGTTTGATCCTCCTCTCACATCCGTCTTTCAGATCTCCTTTTTACCCTCAATTTTCTTTCTCCATCTCTTCTGGAAGAGGTTTCTCTCCGCCCCATTGTGTCCAGGCTAGATCACTATCTATCATCCCTCTTCTGCTCTGTGTTCACTATTCCTCTATCTTTTGCTACGTGTCTGTCCCGCTCAGTGTGGAAAGCATCTGATGATATGTCAGGTCTGTCATGAGGTCCTAGAACATAACCGGTCTCTCCACACTGCCCCGGGGAGCCCGTCCTCAGCAGGCCTTGTCATCTGTGATCATCACTGCGATGACAGCTGAACGTCAGGAATAAAGCTTTGCGTGGCATGCAGGAGAGTGCCTGAATGAAGGCCAGAGATTGAGTGAGGAAAGATGGGAATTTAAAGGTGAAGTGTGTAATGCTTTGGAAGTTAAAATACTTTTTATCCATGTTCGGGATACAAAAACTATGAAACGTTTGCAATTTATACATTTATTCCTGTGTAATTATAAATGAATAGGCCAAAAGCTATAATAATAATAATAATAATAAACATAATAACTGAACAAAATGAAGGCAGAGATTAAATATATTTCAGAAATAAAAACTACCATAGTATATCAATGATGTTAAAATGACACTATTAAACATGTTTCAGTTATATTTAATGAATAAAACACAATAAAATAATAATAATAATAACAACTTAATGACTTAACAATTTAACAATTATTATTATTATTATTGTTATTATTATTATTATTATTATTATTATTAATTTTATTATTAATTTTATTATTATTATTACTACACACTTTACTGTGACAGTTCAGCCAAAATATTTTTATATAAGTCACCTTTGTCTTGTTTTATACCCATTTAATTTATTTCTTTTGTAGAAAACAAAAGAAGTTAATAGTTATTTATTTTTTATTTTTTTTAATTTTCATTATTTCATTTAGTTTCATTTCATTTCGTTTAGTTTCATGTCATTTCATTTTATTTTATGCTTATAATTGGTCATTGGGGTTCTAAACACATTTATTGTTTTAATAAAACATTCATTGTATTAATGAAAACAATGTTTTTTAAAATACTTTTTATATTTGACACATTCTTGGAACAACGTGACAGTGTGTAAATGATTTTTTGTTTTAGCTGAGCTGTCACTATGAATGACTGAACTGTTGCAAACAATTTATTTGTGTTGAATTTAAACAAACAAATTAGGTTGAGTAATGTTCAACTTAATTTGTTTGTTTAAATTCAGCCCAAATAAATTGTTTACAACCTCTTAACGTAAAGAAATTGAGTAAATCCAAGGAATTATCTTTGAATAAATTTTTTCAGTGCATGGGCATGCGCTGGTGTCATATATGCTCAAACATGTCGCTGGCGTACACAAGTTACCTCCAGGCTTATGTTGTGGTTATTTTGCACCTGCATGCCGGTGCTGAGCTGAAGAGAAAGAGTCTTTATCCTGCTGTTAACACCTACACAGCTGCTCAGACTGACCTCTGCTTGAGTCATCTGTCACAGAAGAACAAACGCTCTTGCTCAGGGCTGCTGAGATGGAGAATTGGGTTTCATCCCTCTCTCCACTTTCTGCTGGGTCTGAATGTAAAACAGTTGATGAATTTGAACTTGTTTTTTTATGATTCTGGTACATTTGGATTGTTGGAAATCTGATAGGTGTGGTACAAACTCACTTTTAGGCAGTTTATTCATTCATAGATTGCGTATTTTGTGTATAGTGTACATAGTTTATTTTGTCATTCATCCATTCAATCGTTGACCAATCAATCAATCAATCAATCAATCAATCAATCAATCAATCAATCAATCAATCAATCAATCAATCAATCAATCAATCAATCAATCAATCAATCAATCAATCAATCAATCAATCAATCAATTAATCAACCCAACCAGTCAGTCAGTCAGCCAGTCAACCAACCAACCAGCTTGCCAGCCAGCCAGTCAGTCAGTCAGCCAGTTATTCAATCAACCAGTCAACCAATCAATCAATTAAGGAATCAACCAATCAATCAACCAACCAACCAACCAACCAATCAACCAACAAACCAACCAACCAACCAACCAACCAGTCAGTCAGTCAGTTAGTCAGCCAGCCAACCAACCAACTAACCAGTCAGTCAACTCAACTCAACTCAACTCAACCAGTCAACCAACCAACCAACCAACCAATCAATCAATCAATCAATCAATCAATCAATCAATCAATCAATCAATCAATCAATCAATCAAGCAAGCAAACAACAAACCAGTCAAGTCAGTCAGCCAATCAGCTAGTTATCCAATCAATCAATCCATCTATGTATCCATCGATCCATCCTTCCTTCCATCCAACCAACCAGTCAGTCAGTCAGTCAACCAACCAACCAACCAACCAACCAACCAACCAATCAACCAACCAACCAACTAATTAACCGGCCAGTCAGTCAGCCAGTCAGCTAGTTGTCCAATCAAACAGTCAATTAATCAACCAACCAGTCAGTGAGTCAGCCAACCAACCAACCTGTCAGTCAGTCAACTTAACTCAACTTAATCAATCAACCAACAAACCAATCAATCAAGCAACCAGTCAGTCAACAAACTAATCAATCAATCAACCAACCAACCAACCAGTCAAGTCAGTGAGTCAGCCAATCAGCCAGTTATCCAACCAACCAATTAACCAATCAACCAGTCAATCAATCAATCCATCAAACAGGCAGTCAGTCAGTCAGTCAACTAACCTCAGCTCAGCTCAGCTGAACTCAACTCAACCAATAAACCAACCAGGCAATCAACCAACTAGTCAGTAAACAAACTAAATCAACCAACCAAGGAACCAGTCAGTCAGTCAATTAATCAATCAATCAAACTACTAGATTCTACACACATGCATAATTATTATGGAAGTATAGCGTGTGCATGCATGTGTTAACAAAGGACAAATAGATGTTGGATCAGTTTACAGTATTTTTTCTGACCTTAAAGTCTACAATAAGGTAAAAAATTATCCTATGTTTTTGTTGGTGAGCACAGTTCAGAAGGTAGAATTGAGTTATGACCTGTGTGGTTTGGTTTAGGGATAGGATTGGGTGATAGAAAATACAGTGCAAAACAACTATAGAATGTCCCACAATTTAAAAAAACAAATGTGTGTGCGCATTTGTCTGTTTGTGTGTGTGTGTGTGTGTGTACGTGTTTTTGTGACATATGGTTCAGGATTGGTAGAGCTACGCATCGATGAATTTGCTCTTCAGTGTTTGAACTCTCAGTAATGATTAAATCACACTGAACAGAGCTAAACTGAACTGAACTGAACTTAAACACTAAAACCTGAACCACACTGTTCCAGTTACTATGACCATTTATGTGAAGCTGCTTTGACACAATCTACATTGTAAAAGCGCTATACAAATAAAGCTGAATTGAATTGAATTGAATATCAGGACACAAATCTGTATAATGACATGGGTATGACACAGGTATTACAAAAAGGAGGTGAAATATGAGGACATTGGTGACGTCCTCATTTCTCAAAATGCTTATAAATCCTACAGAATGAGTTTAATCAGAGAGTAAAGCTGCACACAATCTCCTGTGATGGTTGGGTTTAGGGGTGGGGTGGGGTGGGGTGAGGGCAATATAATATACAGTTTGGGCTGCATAAAATGAATGGAAACCTATGTAATGTCCCCACTTTTCACAAAAACAAACGTGTGTGTGTGTGTGTGTGTGTGTGTGTGTGTGTGAGACAGTAGGACCCACTGACACTCTAAAACAATAGAGCCGCTGTATGAGCACTGAAGAACAGGAGGCTCATCAGGTTTTCACCTAACCTGAATCTCCAGCGGCCGGAGATCTGATTCAGTCTGACAGTCGTGTCGAGGGCACAGATGTTCATGAAGGGCTGTCTGGCCATATGTGTCTGCGTTTTTTTTTTCTGTTTTAGCGTTAAGCTTTTTTTATGTTTGCATCATTTCTCCTTTGCAATTCTTTTCTGTCCCAATTCACACACAAAGCATTTCGCTTGACCTGACTGCATAACATCTATAGTATTTTTTATATATATATGTGGGGATGAATTTGCACTGTAAAATGCGTTCTATCATTGAATTGTATGATTTTATGCTTGTTTTTGTATGATTTTTTAAGGAAGACAAGCTTAAAGGTCAGGCCCTTGTCACTTTTTTATAAGCAAAAATATACATTTCTGGTAGAATGTTTCATGTGGGGCTGTCTGAATAATAATGTAAATGTTTGTAGAAGCATCTTTGGTGTAAATGTGTATGTACACGTGTAAGTTTTTACGCGGGATAAGAGTCTTGCATTAACGCAGCACGATAACACTGATAATGGCCCACCACTAATATATATATATATATATATATATATGTATATATAGGCGAGGCAGTGGCGCAGTAGGTAGTGCTGTTGCCTCAAAGCAAGAAGGTCGCTGGATTGCTGGTTCGAACCTTGGCTCAGTTGGCGTTTCTGTGTGGAGTTTGCATGTTCTCCCTGCCTTCGCGTGGGTTTCCTCCGGGTGCTCCAGTTTCCCCCACAGTCCAAAGACATGCAGTACAGGTGAATTGGGTAGGCTAAATTGTCCGTAGTGTATGAGTGTATGTGTGTGTGGATGTTTCCCAGAGATGGGTTGCGGCTGGAAGGGCATCCGCTGCGTAAAAACTTGCTGGATAAATTGGCGGTTCATTCCGCTGTGGCGACCCCGGATTAATAAAGGGACTAAGCCGACAAGAAAATGAATGAATGAATATATATATATACATACACAAACACACACACTCACCGGGCCCCTTTATTAGGTACCTGTGTCCTACTGCTCGTTAACACAAATTTCTTATCAGCCAATTACATGGCAGCAACTCAATGTATTTAGGCATGTAGACATGGTCTACACGATCACAATCTG